TTGTCGCTGACCATCTCTGTCGTTCTGCTCGCAATCTCCTCACCGTCCATGTAATTGCGTACCTCGATGTATGCGTTCACATGCTGATTGATTGCATTCAGTTTTCGATCAAGCATTTTATTCAAATTCGTGTAGAACTCTGACAGTGGCAAGATCGCCTCTGCTCCTGCCTCTCCCCCGACCATCAATCTTGTTCCATTTACTCCGAACACTGTCGGATTTGTCATGATACCACCTGTTTTGTACCATTCAACACCAAATGACGGAACAGACGGAGGATTCAAACTGAATGACCCCGAAATGCTAAAATGTGGCATTTTAAGGTGTGGCAACGACCACTCGAAATTGAAAAATCCTTTGATTCTCTCGATCGCACTGGAAACCGCTGATTTTGCACTCTCCATCTTATTTGAGAACTCGTTTTTGATATTTTCCATCACACTTGAGACGGTTGATTTTGCCTCGTTCAGTTTTGATGAAAACGCTGATTTGATGCTGTCGAGTTTTCCTCCGGTCAGAGTGTTCGCAGTGGTCATGAGTGAGTTCATTGTGTCTTTCATGTTCGTAAACGCTGCCGACACAATTCCTTTCATCCCGCCTCCTGCGGTGTCGTATGCGGTTTTCATATTGTTCAATTTTGTGGAGACATTTGATTTTGCTGTCTCCATGAGGTTTGTTGCTGTGTCCTTGATGTTCGTGAACTTCGTTGACCAGTCAGATTTTATATTCTCAACTTTTGAACTGAATCCCTGCTTGAGTGAATCGAGTTTCGACGATGCATTTGTGTTCCACTCCTGCATCTTTGTCGAGATTGTTGATTTCATATTCTCCCAACCCTGCGACACATTTGTCTTGAGATCATTGATCTTGTTTGTAAATCCAGTTTTGAGAGATGTCATTTTATTGCTTGCATCTGTATTCCACTGCTGCATAGTGGTTGAAATCGTCGATTTCATGTGCAACCACCCTGTTGCAACATAGGACTGGATTCCGGACACTTTTGTTGTGAAATCTGTCTTGATTTCAGTCAGTTTGTTCGCTGAATTGGTTTTCCACTCGGTCATTTTTGATGTGACCGTGTCTTTCATGTTCTGCCATCCCTGCGACACATTTGTCTTGATGTCCGAAATCTTTGTTGAAAAACTGTTCTTGATGTCTGTCAGTTTGCCTCCGGTCAGTTTATCCACGAATGAAAATCCTGCGGTGTAATATCCTTTGATACCCTCCCAACCTGCTGCAACTATTCCTTTGATACCGCCTCCGTTTTCCTCGTATGCGGTTTTCATATTTCCCAGTTTTTCCTTTGCGGTCTCGACTGCTGCCCCCGTGAGTTTCGTGACGGTATCTTTCACCGCTCCGAACACTTTCGACGCTGCTTGCCCGACTGTACTGTTTGCCACTGCATCCTTTATGTCGTTGACCTTGTTTGTGACCGCCTCTTTCGCCTTTGTGAACGCTCCTGTGATTGTCTCCTTGATCTTGTCGAACTTCTCTTTGATATTCGTCCACAACTGCGTTAATTTCTCTTTTACGGTATCCCAGTTTTTATATAGGGCGATTCCTGCTGCAATCAAACCCGCAATCAGTGTCACGATCAGAATGATCGGACAGAGGTTCATTGCCACATTGAGGGCGGTCTGTGCTGCTGTCATTCCTCCGGTTGTCACTGTTGCTGCTGTTGTTGCTGCTGCATGTGCCCCCTCTGCTGTCGCTGCTGCTGCGTCTGCTGCTGTTCCTGCTGCTGTCGCTGCTGTCTTTGCTGTTATCTTTGCAATGATAGCGGACACACCCGAAACAAACTGCTGCCCTGTTTTTATCGTTGTTGAGATTCCCTGTGCTACTTTTCCGAATCCGATTGATAAAGGACCCACCGCAGCAACCACGAGACCGATTTTCAAAATTGTCTGTTGTTGCCCCTCGTCAAGACTTGTGAACCACTGTGTCAATTCTTGTATTTTTCCGGTGAGTTTTTCGATCATCGGTGCTGCACCGCTCTGTGCTGCTGTTGCAAGTGACGAGAGTGCAAGTTTTGCATTGTTCATCGCCACTTTTGACTGATCTATCGGGTCAAGTGTAGCGTTGTATGTATCTTCAACCACTGTTCCGTACTGCGTCATTGATGTTGACAGATCATCGAGGTCAATTCTTCCCTCTCTGATTGCTGTCGCCATTTCCGCAGCACCTTTTTTCCCGAATAGTTCTGTCGCTATCTGTAAAGCCTCTGTGTCTGTCTTTGCGTTCTTAATACTGCCGATTGTTTCCTCAAGAGCCTCGTCCATTGACTTGCCCTCTGCGGTTGCGTTCTGCAATGCTTTTTTCAATCCTGCCAGTGCTGTTCCTGCATCGACACCGTTTGCATCGAATTGAGCCATCAAATTGATTGATTGCTCAAGCGACAACCCCATTTCCTTGAATGTAGCGTTGTTGTCAAGGACATAACCCTCAAGCGTATCGACCGAAATTCCTGTCTCCTGTGCTTTTGCTGTCAGCAATCCCAACAGGTTTCCCGTCTGTGATGCGTCCACATTCCACGCTTTCATGATCTTGTCAACATTGTCAACTGAACTCGTCACATCCGTTCCGTTTATTGATGCAAACTGAATAAAATCTCTCGACAAGTCTTCCAATTCTTCTCCTGTCGAATGAAATCTCGTGTTTACCTCTCCGATCGCCTCTCCTACCGTTGACATATCCTCCGGCATTGTTCCGAAAACATTGTCCGCAGACTTTGTCAAACTCTCCAATGCCTCTCCTGTCGCTCCGGTCTTTGTGACTATCGTGTCATATCCCTCGTCGAGTTCCTTAAATGCAGCGATTGACGCTGCTCCTATTGCTGCGATTCCTGCTGATACAACGGACATTTTCTTTCCGAAACTCTCCATTTTCTGTCCTGCTGAATCGCAAGCATTCGCAAATTCATTCAGTTTGTGGTTTTTCAGTTCTTTGTTTACACTTTCGAGTTCTGATTCCATCTCGACAAGTGCTGCTTTTGCATTATTCGTCTTTGTCGTTTGGTTTGTGAGTGCTGTTTCGGTCTTGCCGATTGCAGTCTCATTCGCCTTGAACTCCTGCTCCAGTTTGTCGAGTTCTGCTTTGAGTGCTTTTGACTGCTCCGAATTTTCTCCGGTTGCTTTTGTCGAATCTTCATAGGCTTTCTTTGCTGCCTCGACTTTTCCTTTGAGTTCTTCCTGTTTTGACTTCTGATCTGTGAGTTTTTGAGTGAGTTTTTCCTGCTGCTCCCTGTTCAACTGCACAATATTCTTTTGTAGGGTTATTTTTTGAGTGAGGTTTTCGGCTTTTGCTTTGAGTGCGTCCGCTGCTGTTCCGAATGACTTCGCCTCTGCTTGTGCAAGTTTGAACTCGCTCGACAACGCTTTCATTTGCGTTGCTGCTGATTTCATTTGCGACTGATAGTCATTTGTACTCGCAGACACTTTCACGCTTGTGTATGCCATTTTTTACCTCCTCCCTGCTATGGATTTTCGTTGATTGTATCTAATTCAAATTTTAAGTATTCCAGTAGTTGCATGATGTCCTCTTTCATGCATTGACTGTATGAGTTTTTCAATAACCGGATTGCTATTTTCACCACACGATCAATGATCTCTCCGCATGTTTTCCACAAGTTATCCTCCGGTTGTTCCTCCTCATACCCGTTTTCAATGTCATATTCATCGAATGCCGATGCCTCTTTCTCGATCTGCTCCACCTCAACCAGTGTCAGCAATTTCTCTGAAACAATATTCTGCATGATGAAATGTATCTTTTTTGCAGCGGTCAAAAACTCCACAATGTCCATGTCGCTAATTTCTTCAAGAGACATCCGGTTTCCGAATATCTCTTGAATGATCTTTTTGTTGAAAAACATTGCGTCCGATACCTTTTCAGAATCGTTCTTTGACATGTATTCCGCATATTTCTTGTACTGTCCTACTGTTATGGAGTTGACGAAAATCCTCTCATTCCTGCAAGTGATTACAATTTCCGGTATCACTTGCCACTCTGAAAATTTTTCTCGATCTTCTCCATTCTCTTTGTGAGTTCCTCTCCGACACCCAAATCAATGAACTGGAACTCAAGAATGATTCCTGCTGCGTCGAGACCTGTTTCGGGGTCGGATAATTCCTCGACTGTGAACTGATTTCCGTATGCCTTAACTATGAAAAGCAACATCGCCTCAATATCCTGCTTTGTATATCTCTTGTGAGTGTCGATTGTCTCTGTCAACTCTAAATAGTCCATATATAAATCAACCGACATTTTCTCCATTTCATACTCTTTGTGGTTTACTGTGATCTTTCTTTTCATGAAAATACCCTCCTGTTATATGTTCTCTTGTTATTCTGTTGCACCTGCTGCAAGACTTTCATTGTCAGCAGCGTCCGGATATTCCTGCACTGCTGCAAACCAGTTCTTGATCGCACTTGCTGCATCCGTGTCCTCTGTTACGAGATTTGATTCGTCAACGGAAATCTCATATCTGCTGTCCATACTTCTTTCATAGAAAGAGCCTTTGATGCTCTTTGTAGTAGGTGACAACTTGTCCTCTTTGGTGTTTGCCTCCTCGCTGATTCCCTCTGCAAACTTTCCTACATAAAGCCACTTAAACTCATACTTTCCGTTGAGTTTTCTTTCTCTCCATCCGACTGCGACCTCCGGTGCTTTGTCGTCTGATGTCTTTACAAGGAAACCATGTTTGTACATCTGACCGAATAAAATCTGTCTGTCCTGTGGTGCAAGTGCATTGATTTCAAGTTCCACATCTGTGCCCTCGTATGATGTGATAACCTCCTCTGTACCGTCGTCGGAATAGATTTTCTCTGATGACCACTTTTCATCAACCTTTGCCTTGATTGCTCTTGCTAACTTGACAGGTGTTCCCGCTACATACTGCATAGATTCGTTCTTTTCTACTAAAGCGATGTAGAAATCTTTCAGTCCGCAGGTTCTACTTCTCACGATATTGCTGACGCTGTCATTTACTTTTGTTACTGTTTCGCTCATTGCTGTTCCTCCGTTTCATATAATTTTGAAAACCTTTGTGCTTTCATATAGATTCCGTCTTGAGGTTCGGAATCGTCTCCGTTTCTCCCCTCATAATCGAATCCGTTTTGTTTCATTAGTGACTTGATCTCCCTTGCAAGTTCAATCTCGTCATTCTGTGAAAAAATGGTGATTTGAACCGATAGTCTCAAACCCTCCGCATCATCGTCCGAAAAGTCCTCGTCTGATTCGCCCAAATCCCACAAAGTCACATGACACTCTTTGATGTTTTTGTTGTACCATCCTTGCATCACTGTGATTCCTCTGTCGCTGACCGCTTTCAATGCCTCGGATGCGTCTGCGATAATGTCCGGACTGTTCATGTCGTCACCCCACTGTATTGTCTAAAAAACTTTGATACTCTTGCTCTGCGATTTTTTGCAATTCTCCGTCTGCCTCTCTGCCTGTTGCGTATATAAATTCTCGTGGCGGTTGGTATATCGTTCCCCAGTTTATAAATTTCACATAAAAATGCTCACTGTTGTCCGATTTTTCCCATCCTACATCTGCCGATGCTGATGTTCCTTTGAATTTCACCTTGCCGATCGGAACGCTGTCCGATGCATGTGCAGAAACAGACGACTTTGAACCGAATCCTCGCCCGCTTTTTTTGATGTCTGCTGACTTCGGGATTTTTCCGGACATGATTCTCTTGATCGTCGGTTCGCTTTTCTCAACAATTTGTTTGTTGACCTTTTTGATCTCGTCGTCACTTGCTGCTTTCTCAAATGCCCTCATGAGTTCCTGCAAACCTTGAAACTCCATGTCGATTCTCATGTCATCACCTCCGGTGTCAGATTGTGACACTTACGCTCCCGCCCTGCATTTCAACAGGACATGTCCATTGTCTGTGAACAGTGGCGACGCATCGTATATCTTGAACTCTGTTCCCTCGTAAATCGCAAAGAACTCTTTCAAATTCAGTCTGATCTCTTTTATTTTCATGCAGTTTCTAACCTTGAAAACAATCGTATTTTCAAGACCTGTCTGCAATGCGGTGTATTTCTCATTTGTATTCAAATTCTGAACCTCACACCAACACTCATAGAAATCGCTTGCCTTGTCGCTCCTCCTGCCTTTCACGATGTCGCTGCTCTTTCTGATTATCTTGATTCGTCCTGTCATGTCCTGCTGCCTCCGTATATTTCTTTTAATAGCATTGAGGAGACTGCATTCGTCACACTTTTACTGTCCTTTTGATACTTCTCCCTGTTGTCATACAGTTCTTTGACGAAACACAAGGTCAACAATCTCTGACGGGATGTCATATTGTATCTGTCGAAATTCGGAATCAACTCCGTCATTTCTTCAAAAGTCGCATCAAGCATAATTTCAATGATGTTCGCATCGTCATCGTAGTCGATGTGATTATATGTCTTGCATTCTTCAAGCAATTTCTCTCTGTACTGCTTTTTTTCCTCGTCTGTCATGCTTTCACCTGCTTTCGTATCGCAAGGGGCGGTCAACCGCCCCCCGCTTTTTTTCTTATCCCTGCACCATCTCGGTGATTTCTCCCTTGATGACTGCATCCTCGTCAACAGGCTGCACATCGAAACGATCACGAACCTTGATTCCTGTCATATCCTTTTCCCACAATCCTGCTGCCTTGTCGTTCATGTCGATTGTGATGACATTTCTATCAAAGAGTGTGATTGCCTCCTTGAGATCACCGCAATAAATAGGGTGCTTATAGCCGATGATTGTCTCCTCGTCATCACCTAAAATTGCAATAGATTTCAGAGTTTTCTTTGAAAGTTTCACAACCGGATATTCACCGAAAAGCAACTTGCCCTTTGTTTTCTGTGTAGGGTCTGCCTGCAAAATATACTTTCCGTCGCTATCCTTTAACTTATCAAGATAGTTGAAACCGGACTGGTTTGTGATAACGATTGATGTTGCTGCAATCGCAGGGTCTAACATCTCATTGAAAATATCCTTGAGGCTGTCGAGGTTTGAAACTGTAACCTCATGATTCTTTGTGATAGCATCTAACACCTTGAGAATCATTGCGTTACGAGTTGCCTTTGTTTTCTTTGCAATCCACTTGTTGATGTATGCCATGATGTTGGATGCAGTGTCCTCGAAAAGTTCTGCTGTGATCTTTAAGATGCCACCCTTTTTCTTGATCGCATACTTGATCTGCTTGAACTTTGGTTCGTCCATCTCCGGAAAATCACCCTCCTCGTCAACATTGTCGAAAGGTGTTGATTCTGCATCAACCTCGATATTTCTTGAACCTGTCTTTGTGGTTACACCCTCAACATTGACATACTGTTCAAGGTTGTCGTCTGATCTACGGAGTTCGATGATTTCTGTTCTGATGTCCTCCGGAACAGTCACACCCATTCCTCTCTCTCCGTCCTCGTTTGGAGTTACATCTGTCGAGATTGCATCCTTGTATGTTTTCACATCATCGTCGTTTGGTTCTGTATGTGTGAAACCTGCCTTGATGATATTCACGAATGCTTTCACGAGGTTCTTTTTGTCGGACTTCTTTTCTCCACCGACCTGCTTTGCCTTGCCTGCTGCCACCTTGTCCTCGATGTCATCATGCTCCTCCTCGTCAATATCAAAGAGGATGTCGAGTTTTTCCTGCATCTCCTGCAACTCTTTCTTTGCCTCTCTTGCCTTGTCGAGTTTTCCGTCGTTTACGAGGCTCTTGACCTCATTTTTCTTGTCGTTGATTGCCTTGAGCAATTTCTGCATTTCTTTGTTCATGTTGTCCTTTTCTCCTTTACTTTTTTACTAACAACCATACATGTCTAAATCCGCAAGAATTTCCGCTTTTTCTGCGTCTATTCGCTGATTTTGTCTCTTTTCCAGTTCTTCGATCACCGCATCAACGATGTCGCTTGCACTGGTTTCTTTTACTGTTTCCGGAATATTGTTGTATTTTTCAAAATATCCGGATGCACACGCTGCAACTGCTGCCTTTTCTTCGATTTCAACATTGAAATACTGCTGCATCTTTGCACTGTCGAACCATGTTTCTTTGTCCATGAGCGACTTGATCTTGTCTCTTGTGACACCCTCATTCACATGCTCCATGTAAACATCGAGAATTGATTCCTCGCAGAGATCAAGTTGCTTGATGACCTCTTTGAAATCATTAGCGTTGCCCCATGCCATACATAGAGGCTTGTGAATCATAGCCTGTGCCCCTGTCGCAAAATGCAATTCATCACATGCAAACATGATGACGGATGCGATTGACGCTGCCATTCCATCGACATATCCGACCTTGTGACCGTTGTATCGCTTTAACTGGTTGTAGATTGCCAGTCCTGCAAATACATCACCACCTCCGGAATTGAAATAAATGTCAATGTCCTCATATCCATCTAACTGGTTGAGAAAATCTGCTATGTCCTGCGGACATTTATCCTCCTCATACCACATGGATTCCCATGTCGCTGATACAATGTCGCCATAGAAATACAAGGAACATTTGCTCTGCTCCTCATTTGCCTCAAAATCGACATATCCGACCTTGTCCGTCTTTCCTGTTTGCTTGTTTTTCTTTGTGAAAATGAAACGCTTTGCCATTATTCTTCACCTCCCTCCTCTGTTTTCTCGGTTTCTGCATTGCCTGCATCGTCCGGTGTTTCTGTCTCCAGTTCATCCTCGTCCGGATTCTCCGGATTTTCCTCGGTCACTGTTTGACCTTTCGTGTATGCTGCTCCTGCCATCGTTAGCGGAATGATATTGCCATTTGCAAGCAATTCATCGCCTCCGGCTGCATTCGGTAAATCTAACTTTTCACGAGCCTCATTCGGTTTCATGATCGAGCCTCCGACACCCTCTTTGAGATAACTCATTTGTGTCTTTGAATCTGTACGGAAAAGCACTTTTTCATTGAATTTGTAGTACATTCCCGCCTCTTGCTGCTCCTCCTCAAGCATTTTATAGTTGATTTCCTCCTCATACTGCTTGATGATGAACAACTCTGTGTCAACATAGAAAGATAACTGCTGCAATTCACTATTTGCATACGACGACTTTGAATAGTCGTTGATCTGATTCGGTTTCACTCCGAATGCTGCTGCAATCTGCAAAGCAGTGTATTTCTTTAATTCAAAGAACTGCGAATCACTCAACTTGATGTCGAGTGGTGTCAATTTCATTCCCAGTGGTACGGGCAAAATCTTTCCGACATTCTTTGCACCACTTCCAAACTCCTCGAAAGACTTTCTCAATGCCTCTTTCGCTGCCTCGTTCAGTTCTCCGGTGTATTCGAGTGTTGCTTTTGCTGTCAGACCGCTTTCGTACATGTTATTCATGAACTCCTGCGATGCTGCTGCTCCGGAAACTGTGTCTTTGAGTATTGCCTGCACTGGTAGTCCTGTGATTCCGTCAAAACTGAATGATGTTTTGAAATGCATCACCTCGTCTGTGCTAAAAACATATTGACGACCGGAAATTCTGTCGGTGTACACATACCACAACCGCCCTACTCCTGCGAAAATACCCTCGTCATCGACAATCATTTGAACACAATTTGACTGCATCACCCATAGATCAAGAATCTTGTACTCTCCACCGTATTTCATGCGTACAAACTTCTTTCTGATGTACACATAAGCATTTCCGTAGTGATTGCGGTTCATTTCAACCGTGTTCCAAAATACCGTCGGTGTCATGAATGGGTTCGGTCTCCTCGTGAGCAACCTCGACGCATTTGTCTGTTCTGCCTCGACAACTCCGTCAACCGTCTTTTGATAGAACTTGATCGGCATTTTCGCAATCGTCTCCGATAACATCTTGAGACATGTGAAATATGTGACCTCTGATGTCGGTTTTCTTCTGTTTCTCAATCCTAAACTCTCAAGGAATGAGGACGAATTGAGCGACATTTCACCTCCCGCATTCTGCGGAGTTCCGTTCCACCAGTTTTTTATTCTCATTGCAATTCTTTCAAACGGATTCATTTTTCCTCCTCACCGCCTTTCTGCATTTTGTAATATAATTCAAGCCATTCATTCACGGATTCGTTGATGTCCGGCTTGTATTCCTCTTTCATTGCTGCTTTCCATGCGTCTATGATCGCATCAATCGGGTCGATACGATCTGTTGATATATCCTTGTCGATCTTGATTTCTCCGTAATTGTTCGAGATCGTCTTTGCGTTTGCAATCGACCATGTCAGCAATTCATCAACCGGAATTACTTTCTTTTTGTCTCCAGTTCCTACCTCAACACCCTCAATCTCAACATTTCCCGCAAGAATCTCCAGTCTGAAATCGACTGTTGCATCATTTAACTCTTTCGCTGTCTGTGTTACTGATACCGAATCGAATCCGATCGCCTCCAAATCAGACAGGAACGCTGATGCATTGTGCGGGTCGTAGCAAATGAGTTGAGGTTTCAAATCAAATTCTTTGATAACATCCTCAAGGTATTTGATGATGTATTTATAATCTGTTTTGATTCCTCCCAGTGTTTGAGTTACCGTCACAAGTCCTTTCGCAATCCAAACATCATACGGTACTTTGTCCGTCTTGATGTGTTCGTCAACCCTGCTCGCAGGTATGAATGAATGTGTATGTACAAAATACTTTTTCACTCCGTCCTCTGTTCGAGGAATGATGATTGCGATTGATGTCAAGTCTCCTCCGGATGACAAGTCAACTCCGACATAACATTTTGCACCTCTGAAATCTTTGAGCGATTTCAACACCGCACACCGTTTCCACATCTTGATGTCTTTGATGTACAGTGAATTTGACCACTGCATCCACATATTTAACTGCTTGACGCAGAAATCTCTCAAATCCTCACCGCCCATGTCACGGGCAGTGTTCGCAACTGGAACGAGGTTCTCCAGTGCATCCTCGTCAAATTCGAGAATCGGGTTCGCTTTCAACCAATTCTCTTTTTTATACATGTCATCCTCGTCGTCGAGTTGTGCTATATATACGAACTGACTGTCGTTCTCGAACACTCCTCTCAAGAGGTTGCAGCAATACTCATATAACTTGTAGCAGGGTGATTTCAAATCGAATCCCGCTGTCGTAATAACTGAAATGAGTGCGGATTTTAATTTCTTGATACCGCCCTCAAGTAGTTTGTACATCTGATTTGTCTTGTGTGCGTGATACTCGTCAACAATTCCCAAATACGCACGATGTCCGTCGAGTGACTTTGTGTCACCGGACAACGCTTTGATTTCAGAATGTGTCATCAAGCAGTCTATCGTGTGATTATGCTCATGCACTCTGAACCACTCTGACAAATCGTCGTCTGAATTTATAAATTTGACTATTTCATCAAAGACAATGTTCGCTTGATCTTGCTTTGTAGCAGTACAATATATTTTTCCGTAGTTGTACCCGTCAAAATTTCCGTAATATGCTGCAAGAATACCATTGAGGAACGATTTTCCGTTCTGTCTGCCTAACTGAACATAGGATGTTCTGAATCGTCTATATGACTTTTCTTTCGTTCTCCACCCATTCAGAGACCCCAAAATGAAACACTGGAACGGATATGCTGTCACATTCTCGTTTTCTTCACCCTCTGCGATCGTTAATTCTTCCGCAAAATTGATGATCTCCTCGGACTTTTCGACATCGAAATAGTATTTGTATGGTGCTGCTTTTGCTTTTTCGAGGTCGTCAAGATGCCTTTGACATGCCAGTTTGACAAGTTCTCCGGCAACAATTACACCCGAAACAACATCAAGAGCGTATTGTGTGCATCGGTCGGTGTTTCTCTGTGTGTCTGTCATGCTTTATTTGCATACTTTGCAAATTTGTTTTCCGGTTTTTCGGTTTGAGCCTTTGGAACGACTAACCTGCAACGACTGCTCACTGTCATTCCGAAATCTCCCGCTCCCTGCCTGCACTGTTTCATGCAGCGGTCTTGAATAATCATGAGACGCTCTCTTTCACCGTTCACCACCTGTCTTGTACCGACCTGCACTTGCATTTTTTCTCCGGTGTCCGGATTCTCTTGCATCTCATACACCGGAACATCAATCATCAACGGTGTCTCCTCGATCTGCTTTGTTACTTCAATGAATTGTTCTTGAGCGATCAACAATCTCGCCAACGCATCACAATCCACATTCGCAATCAATTTGATCTCAAGGAGTTCTTTCGCCAATTTTCTGAACTTCTTTTTGTTGTCTGATGACAAATATGCGGGTGGTCTGACCTTGTCATTCGGTGCTGTGACCTCTGCATTTTTTCTCGCCTCAATTTCTGCTTTTGTGAGGTGTTTTTTGCCTTTCATGACGACCAAATCTGTGGGTTGTCTTTGTCCTGCCATAGCAACATCAAACCCCCTTTCCGTCTCATGTTCAGCGTTTTCGTGTCACAATCTGACACCCCTTTCGGACTGCCCCATGTACTGAAATTCTCGTGGGGAGTTTTCTCAAAGGAAAAGAGTACTCTGCGTTGATACCACTGCTT